TTTCTGTAATAGAGATCTGATCACGTACCACCAACAGACAATAAATTTTTTCTAAAACTATTCATTTCACTGGGACAATACCACAACAAATACAATGGTATTGTCGAGATTATTGAATTAGATATGAGAATGATATGAAAGTCATTATTTCTGCCTGTGATCTTTTCCGTCGAACAGAAATCTGTAATAGTATATTTGGAAACCAGTACTAGCCTGCCAAATTATAGATAATAAACTGCTGTGATGGACATATCAGATCGGTAATGTTTATTTGTGTTCTAGAGAAATATATTGCCCTTGTTAATAGCACCGTCTGAATAATAAAATCGCCGTACAAGGTACAAATGTCCATCAAACGTTTGTTGTTTTAAAAGAAAAAGAGTGAGAAAACACCAAAATTCCGGACGTACTTGAAATCAATGAACTAATTCTATACTTACTTCATGACAAATAAGATGTCTGTTGCAGTTAATGAACTGCTGTTCGCCCTATGGTCGTCAAAGATGACCATAAACTTCAATTACCTTTTTTCCTACTGTTTTACCATTAAGCACGGTTCGAGTCCAAAGATGCCGAATGCGGATGAGAAGCTGCCAATTTACATCGGCATCGTGTTCTCGCTGCGGGCGTTGAGGAAGTAAACAGAAGGTCTGTTATAGGCTTCCCTTACTTTCGTAACTGCCTTCAGGCGCCTGAAGTTAAACAGTTAACCATCAGCCATATGCTTTTTATGGCTACCGGGGTCGATGTCTATAAAGGCATCATTCGGCATGGCTAAGAAAATCAATAAACAGTCAATAGGAGCCAGAACGCAGCCCTGTTTGACTCCAGGGAAAGGATTTGATGCCTCGTCCGAAACACTGGCCATTATGCCATCGCAAAAATTGACAGACTATTGAGATGAACTCATCTTAGCACCCAAACTTATTTATGATCGTCCTTCTGGAGGCCTTCACTGCTAAGCGTATCATACTTTGTCAGGTCAATTAAGGCAATGTAGAGATCTTTTTGTTTTTCCGCGACTTTTTCCCGAAATTCACGGTAAAACCCTGAATAACTCTTCAATTTGCTGAGTTTTTTTCACAAATCTTTTTAAGTCAAGAGCAATAACCCAGAAGCATTGAATTATCACACTCAAAGATACATATAAAGGTATCATCAAATTCACACTAACAAGGTCTCAACTACATTAACAAATTTGAACTTCACTGAGATCTCATTCATATATACCTGAATACGAAATTTCAAAAAGATCCGATAACAAGTGGTTGCCTAGCAAGATACGCCCACGTTCCTGATATTTTTTCAGTATATCAAGGGCGGTCACCAATCTGTGTCAAATCATACCAAATATCTAATTTGTGCAAGATATTGTTGATTTAATCAAACACAAAAAATTTGATAAAATTCTGACATAAACTGTCACCTCTATCGCGTTAACAAGCCAACAAATTTTGATGTGGTTTTACTAAGTGAAGGGCAGTAACTCAAATTCTGTTGATCGAAAAATTGTCAAATTCAATCTTGACTAAGATCTCATCATTATAAATGATCGCACAAACTTTCATTTAAATCGGATGAAAACTGTAGTCTCTATTGTGTTGACAAATCAATTTTGACGCGTTTTCCCTAAATCAAGGGCAACAACTCAAAAGAAAATTTGTCGAAAGATAGCCAAATTCGAACTTGTCCAAGATCTCATCATAAATATTCACACCACATTTCATTTAAATCAGATGAAAACTGTAGTCTCTAGTGTGTTCAAAAATAAATTTTGACGCACTTTTCATACGTCAAGGGCAAGACATATTTCAAAAACCGTTCATCGAAAGAACGTCAAATTCGAACTTGTCCAAGATCTCATTTATATAAATGATCACACCAAATTCCATTAAAATCAGATAAAAACTTACTGTTGTCTCTATTGCGTTCACAAGCAATTGTAGACCGACGGACGGACAGGGGCGACGACAATATACGACCACATTATAATGTGGCGTCTAAAAACTGTAGTCCCCATCGAGTTTACAAGTCAAATTTGGTGCATTTTACTAAGTCAAAGGCAATAAAAAAAACCTTCTTACAAAATGATCCAAATTCATACTTCACCGTGATCTTATCAATATATATATGCATCCCAAGATTCATTACTATTAGATAAAATCTGTAGCCCGAATTATGTTTACATGCCAAATTAGACACATTTTACTAAATCAAGGGAAATAACTCAAAAACCATTCATCAAAAATTTGCCAAATTATAGAACTTGACAAAGATCTTTTTAATATATACATGCATACCAAATTTCATTAAGATCTGATAAAAACTCTAGCACCTATCATGTTGACAAGCCAAATTTGGTGTGGTTCTCAAGGGCAATAACTCAAAAACCGTTCATTCAAAACGAGCCATATTCGAACTAGATTAAGATCTTATCAATATATACATGAATACAAGGCTTCATTAAGATGGATATCAACTATAGCCTTTATCGTGTTAACAAGCAAATTTGATGCATTTTTTATTGAAAATTGTAGCTTATATTGTGCCCAGAAAAACATTTTTACAAATTATACTAAGCCAAGGGCAATAACTCATAAAACGTTCATCGAAAAAAAAAAAAAAGTTTACTTCGAACTTGACTGCCCATCTTATCAATTCTAATGCTCAGACCAAGTTTCATCAAAAATTGTAGATTCTATTGTTCCCACAAATAAATTTTGACACGAGTTTACTAAGTCAAGGGCAATAACTCAAAAACCGTTCATTGAAAATCGTGAAATTTGAACTTGACTGCCATCCAATCCCAATGCTCAGACCAAGTTTCATTACAACTAAACGAAAACTAATCTCTATTTGGCCCACAAGAAATGTTGACGGACGGACAGGGGCGAGGACAATATATGACCACATATCCATATATTCATATTCATATGCACTTTGGTCCATGTTTTTATTTGTTTTAAGATTGTGTTAATTTCTATGAAAGGCGTTTTATTCAATGTTCTTCATTGCTATTTCTTAATTCTTAATTTTAAATTCTTATCTCTTAATTTGCACGCTTAATTCAACATATGTTATTGAAAATTGAGATTTGTATACAAAAATCATAATTTGTACTGAAAATGAACATTCTTTGATAAACAATCGGTTTTCCAATTATTATATTAATAGAATTCTTGCCAAAAATATCCTCAAATACAAATCTACAAATAAAAATCTAGCTCAACATATCTTCAAATGCAAAACGTCAAACACAAAACTCTACCAACAATTAATGTTCAAATACAAATATTCAATAACAAATCTCGCTCAACAAACCTTGCGAAACATTTCTCCAAATACATGTCGAATATATTTGAAGGTCATGATTATGAAGACAGGTGCCGATGGCTGTACAACCAACATAAAAAAAGATATAGATAGCCTCTATCATCCAGTACAATTTTCAATGATCTTATCTACGACGATATTTTGTAATTTCCATGAAGACGTCGACCCCTTGCTACAATTGTTAATTTTCAGGAGCTTGAATAATTCTGAAGTTCATACGAGTCCTACGAAGTAGAGGTAGAAGTTTGCTAAATCCCGAGAAGAATTTACGGTTCATGTGTGTGTTAATAATTATTTTCTAACAACTTTGAGAATTAATTTAGTAGGGCTATGTCGATTGTCGGTTACTTTTATTTATAGCTTTTAAAGACTAAACATAGTAATCATATTAATAAATCTAATGGTTTTATTTAGGCTACGCCTACCCTACACCTTTGTGCCATTGTGGGCAAATCAAAACTCTACACGGAGCTGACTGAGCCTTTTTTTTTCCTTTAGTATATCTTTATCTTGATAATAGCAGTGAGACTTTGAACAAAAATGCCGAAAATTTTCCTGACTATTATTGTACTCTGTAAAAACAAGTTTCACGTTGACAATAGGCCTATCCTATATCATATAGTCATGCTTAGATTTTATTCAACCCAAAGACATTTTAACACTAACGCTAGCGACTAGGCCTACAGTAGATATATATTTTTGGGGTTGATATATAAATCATCGGTAAAATGCGATATACCAATGTACTGCAAAGACAGTAGGCTATAATGGCCTACAATTCATGACAAAATCATTGCGAGACATTTGCATGATTATTTTTAAAGACTAGGCCTATGATTTTTTGATGGCTATAAATGTCACTTGCCTTGTTAATGCAATGAAAGGAACGTTGGAAATTGAATTGGATGATAGAGGCTATCTATAGTCTATATCTTATTTTCTGTTGTTTGTTCAGAGACATCTGTCGTCATAATCATGGCCTTCAAATATATCCGACATGAATTTAGAGAAATCTTTCGCGAGATTTGTTGAGCGAGACTTGTTATTGAACAATTGTATTTGAACATTTGTTGGTAGAGTTTTGTGTTTGACATTTTGCATTTGAAGATATGTTGAGCTAGACTTTTATTTGAAGATTTGACAAGCATTCTATTAATTCAATAATTAAAAACCGAAATTCCATCAAAGAATGTTCATTTTCAGTACAAATTATGATTTTTTGTATACAAATGTCAAATTTGAATAACATATGTTGAATTAAGCGTGACAATTAAGAGATAAGAATTTAGAATTTAGAATTAAGAAATAGCCATGAAGAACATTGGATAAAAAGCCATTCCGCCTTTCATAAATTTCGCTGTTCTGGAGTTAGACGTAAACTTCTCATGTAACAACCAATCAATCTTTTGTTTGTCATATGTATTGCGATCTCTATAAAATATAATACAGCAAACATATAAGACCTTCTGTAGATCGATCTTTCTTAGGAATTAACATGCAAGCCCTTTCTACTGCGTTACGTTGTTGTACTGTTAGGGTGTATTGAGACGAGTCTCAATGTAGTATTCTTTAGTCGCAACAGATTTCTACCACTTTTTCTACCACAAACGTTGGTATATTTTATAAGCTCTAGTATTAATTAACAATGGACTATTTTATATTTCCAGGTGAAGTATGTGAATCTCATGATTTATTTCCCTCTGAAGAAGATATTCAAGTAGATGAGAATATTGACAGTCATTATTTAGGTAGGTTTCTATATCTAGACCACACAAAACAGACATCCCAGGTTAACAGAAATATCGATCCTACAAAATATCAAAAAACCGATGTGGTACGACAGAGGACAAACAAATATGCTATCGATTGTGTTTACACGTGTAGATATTCCAGGTTGAAATACAGATCTGCTACTTCAGGTAGCTTCAGATCGCGCAACTTGTATTGACGATTTTTGGTGTAGTGTGAATATCCAATTAAAAACATTACCACACGGTCGTTTTATATTATGCTGTTTGTATATATATTGAATATAATGCACCATTCTGATATCATTTCCCATTGACGAAAATTCCGAATGGTGTAACAGACCTGTATTACCTTTAAAATAATGTATGTATTTAAACTCAACAACCCGATTACAGATGCGGAACACGATACACCCTCAACATTTTGACTGAAGTACTTTTAATACTGTTATGATTCGATATAAGATGAAATCAAAGATGTAGTTTGATCTAATCCACATAACAGAATAGAAAGAACAGTAAGAACAATTTTAACGCTGGAGAAATATCTTCTGATCATCTTAGAAGCCATAACAACGTATGAACCACAATCGGAGAGTGATATTCTGTTTTGTTGGATAGAAGCCATATTAAATGACATGGTATTGCAGCCAGAAAATTATGTAATATCACTTTAAAACTATTAGATGAGATTTTATCTCCATTATACTATTACACTATAATGAATGATGGCATCGTTTAAAGATTTATGGGAGTTTAATATAATGCAGTTAAGATGATTACATCTTAAAGCTACCATGTAACAATGAAAATGCTGGCGATGAATAACTCCATATGTAAAAAAAAAATAGGAGACTTCATCCGATTATGCTTCTTGAATTTTGATGTCACTTCACTCGATGTCATACTTATAAATCCATGCATACATAGTGTTTAGTTTTCATCTTTGCTAAAGGCATGGTAAGTAACAGAAAGTGTGCATGTGCATGTAATGTTATTTTAAAGGTGAAGTTCCAGGTAAACAATAAAAGCTCATTGAATAATTATGCTGTGTATCATAATAAATAAGATTTTCTATAATACATGTATATATATTAAGAAATGTTTATAGTTTTGAAGATAAGATCTGATGTGGGGAAATAGGTTAAAATGACGTTAAACCCGAGATTACCTGGATATAATATTTGTTCTTTTTCGAGCATTTATTTAACCGCATCCTTGGCTTGCCATTGCCATTTAGCAGCTTACCTATTTAAGATCTGTTTGATACGGTAGGAATTCTATTAGTTGCCAGAATCCTACCGTGAACAGATAATGTATACAGTATTACTATGTTAATTATGACAATATAATTAAACACGGGGAAATATTATCAGAGCAACACTTTCAATAATCTGGATCTCATTATAGCAGGAAATAAAAACCATCATGACATGACTCTAAACCTGTCAAAAGCTACAATATTTAAAAACAACTATTCAACTTAAAGCTAACGTGAAGAAATAAAACAGATTTCAAATACCTTATGTAAATAATTATCGCTGGAACAATTTCCTACCTAAATATCGTTAATTGTTATTGGGTTTTTTTTCTTGTTTTGGAATGTTCAATCTCTGTATCATCTTTGACTGGTTTTAATGTATTTTTTCGTTTACTGAATATTAACTCTTTCACCTCCTGCTTCTTTATAGCATGCATATTATCTACAGCAACTTGGTATTTCACAGTCACATTTTTATCTGATATATCTATTTGTCTATTTTCCTCTTTCTAGATGAACGGACTAAAGAAGTTCTTCAGATAGGTAGGTCGGCCACTCTTTCTTATCGAAAATCTTTGCACTTTTTTGTATAAAATGTCTGCGGTTTTTAACTATGTACAGATAAATTATTATTTTATCATGCTTTTATTCTCAGTTTACAGTCTGTAGTGTAATGTGTTCTTATATTTTTACATACATTTTCTTTGTATCCTAATTTTATAGAGATTACCCAGAAAAATTTATCTCAAAAAAGTGGTGTTTATTTTAATTCTATAACTGTGCATGTTCTATTTTCAGATTATACAAGGACAGTGATCGCCTTTACTATAATAGCTATACTACTAATGAGTTTAGTTCATTGTTTTGCCTTTTATACAATTAGACGACCTAGATATATTGTCAAACGACTCACGGCATTGCTTCACTTTATGACAGGTAAGATGGGAATTAGCTCTAAAGCTTCATTACTCAAGCTCAGGTTGATATTTTTTGTTATTGTGCAAACTTTGATGTTTTTGAGGTCTCTGTTATGGGCTAATATGAATCATACCCGTACCTGGTGTATTTTTTATTTTCTAATGTATCCAGAGGTCTACGACCTATACCGCACCTGTACCTTACTTTACTACGTTTAATCGCACCATGGTTTGGAGGAATGGGTGCAAATATAGGCGAATATTCCTTAATAGTAGGGTTCTTTAGTGCAGGATCTGGAAAAGCTTTATTTGGCGGACAATTGTACCAAACTTTCAGGATATGTACCTTAGATTTAGGAATTCACATTTTCTAAACGCGATAAATCATTTTAAGGTACCATCTTGGATTTCAAAATGGCGGCCAAGCAGCCATCCACTAACTTTGCTAAAACAAGAACATATACTTTGATAACTTGCGATATGGTCACTTAATATTTTAGTATGGCGGTCATTTTGAAAATCCAAGATGGCTGTCAACCATTCTGGATCGATTGAAAATCTTGAATCATCATTACCAACATTTCTTTAGACTTCGGTACGTTTGTCCGGTAATTAACGCTAATTTCACTCAGATGCAGAAGGTTGTTTAATAAGGATTTTGTCTGTCAAAGTTGTGGAGTTGAATCATTCGAAGCTACAGTAAATATATGTATAGATCACAAGAATGAAGCGCCATTCTTATCTTCTTGTAGCTTTTATTGTCATGATGTACAGTCGACATACACTGCATTGTGACAATATAGTGTTAGACCATTACAACTGCTTTGTGTAAAAGGGACAGATATATATTTTACCCAGTGGTCAAATATTAACTAAAATAGGTTTCTAGTATTTTATTCTGGTCTAAAAGTACTTTTCGAACTCTGAAAGAAAACAGAATAAAATACAATTTCAATGTAAAAGATGCAAATGAAGACAAATTTCATTTTCTTTTCAACAGTCTTCTTATATCTTCCAAGCGCAGTGTTGTAGAACATTTAGGTTGAACATTGTATACCCAACTATGCCTACCGATATTCGCAACTGATCACAATGGACATTTTAGGGGTTGATTGATTCATGAATATATGTAAATAGTCTTCAGAAGTACTAGAAATGTACGAAAATCACAAAATTCCTTTAAAGATAGTTTAAACTAAATCGACGAATTGACGAGTCGTCATTTTAATATTCAACCGCTGATCTTTCTTGACACACATTTATTTGAAGGCTAAAATTTCAACTGTGAGCTGAGAACACTATTTCTGATTGGCTTAAAAAAAACCTGTTTCTGAGACAAGTCAAAAATAAATGGCGCACCTATCCCTGTTTTCATGAAACCATACATTTTTGCTAACTTAAAAATTAACAGTTATGGAGGTAAAATGACAGAAGTATGTACCTGAAATTTTGCTTATATGGTTATTCTTCTGGATTTAAGAAAGTGTCATCATGTAGTTCTATATCTCTTCCGAATAAAATGGCGGTTTTTTCTGCTCCCCTTCTGACACCCAGACGAATTCGCACTCGACCAATATCTCTGGAAACTCTTGACCAGCGGATACAATCAATATCTTCGGGGATGATCAACAAAACTAGGACGAGTATTAATAGACCCTTCATCTGCAACTCAAATATATTATATCAAGGATAAGAATGTCGACAATAGTTTTTGGAAGGTTGTACCTACCTTGCCTTGACCGAGTTATTTTTGCCGTTGAACTGACGTCAAATCTTTAATAAAATGAAGAAAGGCCACTAGCACAGTTCTGTCCTAATGAAAATGCAAAATAACTGTGATCAAGCTTATCAAAAGCTTGAGAAGAAAATTTGTACCGGATTTAAAATACATTGACTCACCTTATTAACTATATGATAGATAAAAACTCTTTGAATGATCCCACTACGAGTTTATATCTAGAACAGGGTGTCAACGAGGTGGTGTCAGCTCCGGGTCCTAGTTTAGCATACAGGTACATTATTGTTTACCAATAACGATATGTCACTTTTCTAGTATCGACATCTGTATAGCCATGTCATTTGAACATGTGAACAAGAACAAAACACCATGTATGAATTAATTGATTTGTCACCCATCAACATGATAACGCTAAATGAAGTTTTCTAAAATGTTTAGATAGTAGTCCGGTTTTAATTCAATCCACGTTTCAAAATTGTCTAAATTGGCTTTAAGGTACATGTACATGTACTGATCGCTATTTGGCACGACGGGGATTAATTTGGTTATCAAACCTTAACCGTGTTTGTATCTTAACAGTCCGAACAATCACATATCAACCAGAGAATTAGTAAACAAAGCTTATTTATTTAAAAAACAAAAATGCAGGATTAAATTTGGCATTCTCTTTTTTACTGGTCAATCAATATTACTAATACAACATATTTCAACCTGGACATGTAACGATATTGTCAAGTATTTTTTTTTTCATTTCAGCTGCGTGTATTTTGGTGCTAAATGAAGTTTTTGTTAAGGCAATAGAACATGAGAAAGAACACCTGGCTGGACGATTTCCAATTAATGGCGTATCTTCTTATGGATTTTCATTCATCCTGTCGTGGCTGGTGTTTGTTGTTTTTGTGTGCGTCGGCCTAGTGTTTTTATTTGTTTCCCATAAACGGAAAGCGGACATGGCCGACATTGACGATGAGCTTGCGCAAGAAGATGAACCGATGCAGCTTGGAAGAGTATAACAGATTGTTTTTCTTGATGGAGATGAATTATGAAATTGCACGTGCTTTGCCTTAATTTCTAACTGAGTGCACGTTATTTTTAACTTGTGTTTTTGACGTGAATTACTGAAATGTGAGGAGGCTGTTCGTGGCGCCATTAAAATTTAAATAATGATTCAAGCTTCTGTTCTTAGTCAAACTGAAACAACCATGAAAAGGACTTGGGCTAATAATTACTGAATGATAATCAATCTGCATCGATAAAAGAGGTATCTGGACACCTAAACTGTTATCTTGTCTCCGGACGGATAATAATAAAAGCGGTCTGAAAATCGCTTTTGCAGAAAATTTTAAACGTTAACTAGTCGTGTTCGTGAGCGAGGGCCATGCTATGTACCATCAAATCGTTGTTGAAAACGAAGATCATCCGTGCCTGTACCCTAGCAATAAATAGAAGTTGAATTATAAACAGTTTATAAAAGGCCTCCATTAAAAATATCCTATAACAGTAAAGTGAGATAAACAATGTTAAATTATTATAAACACTACTTCTATAATTACCACCGTTTCATTTTTTTGAAGCTAAATTGAAACAGGGTCTGGAGTTTTTACGTTTATAACAAAATATTCTTATTTCTCACTCAAAGTGAAACGGAAAATGTAAAGTTTAATGTCATCATATTCTGTGTTTTTCCATCGTTTTGTGGTCGGTAGGTTTTTAAGCATTGAGTTCAGTCTTTCTCTTTAGTCTTTAGACATACATGTAATGTTAAACTTGCAAGAAATTGTCATGGTCGAGGTTTCTGACAGTCCTTAATTAACTTCTGTATTTAGATTATTGGGTTTGTTTCCTCTATACTACGAGTCAAGTTAATTTCACACAATGTTTCTAATCCCCTCCAATCTGGTTAAGATACAGTTCCATGTATTTCATTTTGTAGATCGTGTCATTTCCAACTTGGTATAGGCTAATGCCCAATCAATACTAAAAATTGTACACACCAGAAATCTTCAGATGACCAACAGATCGGAACAAATCATTTAACAGCGAAAAGTCATGACTATCAAAAAGCGAAGTGAAATATAGATTTGTAAACAACCAACCACTTTCTTTAGTTTGCTGATTTGAATTTTAATGATATGCCTTACTCCTTTGTTTGCCGTGTTTTCGTGATTTATAATATCTGTTATTGACTGTGGGTTATTAGTTAGGTTATTTGGGTGGTTATATTATACTTTTTATGGTCGATGGGAGATAACTTTTAAATGAGTAACAATGTTTGTCTTGTAACTACAATAGAGACTTACAGAACTTACTTCAAAATTTGATACATAAATAGATTAGTAGACCCTTAACTACTTATAATGTATATTATTTTGAATGAACATAGATTGTGAATGTTAAGTCACACGTGCCAAACAAAAGTTCCTTAAGTGGCATCTTTGCATGTCTTTTTTCAATGTTTTGAAGACATTTTTAACGGTATAGCCAAAAAATTCGCCTCGGGAACTTCATTAAAACCTTTTTAGCTGATATTTATTACCATGAGTTTTCTCATCATTTGTTGTTATCCTGTACCATAATTCTTTCTTCCAGGTTGTTCTACCTCTACGCTTATGGTCTCCTTGATAATTTAACATTTTAACAAGCACCCATTCAGCTATTGTATATTCAGGACATTTTACACCATTGTTGACCTTGCTACAAGGTTAAAAATTAATTTGCTTTAAGTGATATAAGGTTTTGTTTTATAACTCTATAGCAGCATAGGCCTGTCTTTTACTTTGGAATAAAGCTAGAAAAAACTTTTTTTTTTTTTGTATCTGTTATGTTTTGATTGTTTAGAAGAATTACAACAGAAACAATTCCTTGAACACACACCAAAATCTGACACTTTTTTAATTTTAATTTTTGGCCATGGAGAAGCTGTAAGTGTCCACCAGAGTTGAAAATATTGAATTAGTCTTGCTGTTACCGATATTATGATCAATGAACTATCTATAATGAGCAGTAAAATGTTCTGCGTTAATATTAGTCTCGATTTGAGCCTAGTGGTGTTTGACAAGAAAATTAGACATTTATCTTTCTGTTACTTTGTATATAGATTGTATATATTCCATGATTCCTTTTTTTTGGCAATTTTCAGATTGACAAGCCATTTATTTTATATAAACCGTTTGATGACCATTATTTAATAAAATGGTTGTGTTTTAGATTGAACAAAATCTTCTGAACAAAAACTGTACATAAATCTTTTGTTTGTGTTAAAAATAAAAGCCAAATAAAAACCTATTCTATAAATTTTATGAAATGTGAATTTGATGTTCAGGAAATTCACAACTGGTCTAATATAATTTTCTTAATACTACATGCAACTATTTTATGCACTTTTTTTATAAATTTTGATGCACACTTTTGGCATCATTTTGTTATTTTTTTAATTATTGTTTGTTTCAGATATTGTTCAATTTCCCTTTTCACATCGAAATAAAATATTTTCACACCCAAATATTGGATTGTAGCATCAACTCCTTAAATGAACTTGACAACATTTGTCAAATCACTAAGATCCATACGTAATGCGGTGAAAACAACATTTTCGAAAATAGAGAAAAGAAACCCGAGTTGTATCTGCTTGTTCACTGTCACAGTGAAACAGGAGGTTCACCCCTACCCCTTATTTTATTAACAGTTATTGTTTTTCAGAGGAAAATAACAATGTCCTCGTCCTTTTTTAAGTCAGATAAAACACTTCATCTCAGGTTTCTATGATGTTAAAACTCCCCGAGATAGGGTTTTGAATATCATAATAACACTCGGCCGTGTTTTATCTCAAATAAATAATAACTTAACTAGTACAAAAGAGCCCACCCAATATGAACATTGTTTTCCTTATTAAACAACGCACTTCACATAATCCCTTCTGGTGAAAGTTATATCCAGAAGTTACTTTGTTTTGGTACCATAAGTACAGGGCCCTCCAATCAAAATATTTCATCTTAAATCCCATATTAATAATTGAAATAAACCACCACCAGTCAAATGCCTAGTAAATATCCAAAGAACCTTTTTCTAAGAAATAGATAGTCTCCCTTGTTATGGTAGATCTTCTTCATTTCAAAGATTTGAGTCTGTTAAATTAATGAAAATGGAGTTGTAGGCTGCGTCCTGTTTTCTAAACCTAAATCGAAATTTGAGTGATTTCAAAGAATTCAAAAGCAGGAACTATCCACAAGAAAATCTGGTTCTTCCTAAGAAACCTTTACTTAAAGTAAAATTAAAATATCATAAAATATCCTCAAGCATCCTGCTATCAACAGCGTCGAAAGTTCCAACCTAAAAGGACTTTGACCAATTGATCGTTACGGTCATCTGTTACATCTCCAGTGCTGCTATTTGATCGGCATCTACCATCATTCCAGAACCTTCAAGAGTACAGCTACGGATACGCCTTCCAATACAGTACCATTCGAATTTATGGCTAAGGCTACTGAACAACTAAACAAAATAAAAAAACAGAACGGATCAAACAACACACAGAATTCCAAAACCAGAATTACAAGACCACTTTGAGACAACAGTTCGGTGAAGTGGTTACAAATGGTATTTATAAACAGAAGTTCGAACGTAGTCGAAATGGTAAGTCGTTGAAGGATAATGAGATAAGTTCTGATGGACTTTACTTACGAAATTTATTGCGAAAGCAGCAAGGACTAATCATGAGAAACTGTTAGAACTTTAGAACTTTCATGCTTTAGAAATACTAATTTGTTGATTTAATATAATTATGAACATTTTTAAATAAATTGCGCTTTGAGACCATAAACTTTTTGTAGTTCTCAGAGGCGGAGCCAGGCTAATGTCCGAGAGGTGGCGAGATATCTGAGATTGCCCGAATCCGAAACCTAGTTATGAGATTTTTGCCCGAAAAACTTTCTTTCGGGGCTGCCCCCCTCTTTTTAGCTCCACTACTGTTAGTTCTAAATCTACTACTATCTAATTTCCTGTAAAACAAAAATGCGGTGTACAATATGTTGTCGAAACCCAATATGCGTTGCGTACTCGTCTAAGCGGTCATCGCTGTGACATTCTTCATAAAAAAGACAGACCAATCGCGAATCTATCTTCTTGTTATGCCAATAGAAAGTTTTCTGTATCTACAACGAACAAACCAAAGACCAAGCGATTGCAAAGGGAGAGATAGCTAACCATACAGTTTCGACGAAGATGGCCTGAACCGGTTGCTTAAAATCTTGTAGCTGACCAAGTCTACAGTGGCTATAGAAACTGACTTGTTGTAAATCCACATCCGTTTGGCAGCGTCAGCCTCTCGAGACTCGGGGTACACGTTTGGGGTAGACTGATTAACTGGGCGAGGTCAAGGTTGAAATTCAAAAGGCGACAGCATTGTGGAAGCGCCATAGAAGAAAGCCACCAATAGAGTGTCTGAAAGTGTTTACTACCAAGAAATTGAAAGCTGGAATTGATTTTGTGCATTCCAACACACATTTTGAGGCAAAAAAACGATAAAAATAATATTTTTTTAAAATTTGTTTGATCAAGATCTGCGTCTTGAATATGACAAAAAAAAACAGGACATAATGTAAAATTGTACGACCGCCATCATGAGCTCATTGAAATATATACAATATCAGTTTCTACTATCATCGCAGCTGTTTTTGTTTAACGATAAAGTTTAAACTTATCACAATAATTTGTCGAGTTTGAAGTGGGACATCGCAAATACGGTTACTTAAATACAGACATGACAATTTTTCAAATTTAGCATAATTTTTCTTGACGATTAACTGATAATAGACTAATATTGTTCCAGTTGTTATGGATATGATCAGGTATAAATTTATGTCATTTTATACCAAAAAATTACAATTAAATATAATGAAACTCATCACCTAGTTCTTTCTTAGGAATTTGGAATTTGAACATTGCAAATATAATTATTTAAATACAGACATGACAATTTTGCAAAATTTTGACAAGCCGACAAGTGTATATTTAT